GCCTTTGTAACGTGGTTGCCATGTTTTAAATTAAAGGTGCTGTAAAATTAAAATTCGCAATATTTTCTAAGACAGAATATCATTTTATTAATTTTGTGATGAATGTTTTGTTTTAACTTGTAATGCTTTGGAAAAAATAATATTGTGTTACATTTACATAATGATTTGTATATATATGATGCCGTGAGATATGATTAGGTCAGAATTTTTTTAATCAAATAAAAAGGAATTTCACTATCTTTTTGACATCTCATTTGTATTTAAACTATTGTGTGACTTGTTATTTATAAATAATATTATTCATATTATTTTTTGTAACATTATTTTTGTTTTATATGTTGACATACCGTGACTGCGACAAAATATCTTTAGTCAATTTGGGAGCTTTGTATCGAATCATATACAAAGGTTATATCACATCACTTTAATTGGTGAGCAACTAATATTCTTTACCAACCATGATTAGACAATTTAACCAAGGTTCAGAAGAAACAATATCATAAAATAGTGCTTCGTTGAAAACTATTATCAATTTTTCAACCGATCAAATCTTAATTTTAACTATATTTTAACGATTTTTCAATCATATTTTGACAAATTTTATAGAAATGTGCTAAAACTTTTATAAAAAAAATCTATTAATTTTGACTTCCGTCGCAAATTTTCCATCGAATCTTTTTAATTTAAATTAGCCCATTTTCGATCCCCATTAAATTTTAATTTATTTTTCTCTCATTTTATCTATCACATTCTGTCAATAAAATAATATTACGTAAAAACTCAAAAATTCTTCTTACTTTTTACACACACATTCTCCAAAAAATACTATTTCAAAATCATTTTTTTCCAAATAATCGAGCTCAAACAAGAGCTTAATTAAACCTTAATTAAACTCCGCTGTCCAACTCTAATCCGGGCAGCCTTTGCCCACTGGATATTTTCTCTAGTCTGCCCATCAAAAAGCTGCCCGAACCTCATCTGGACATTACGGGCAGCTTCCTCAGTAACACCCCCACACGTGCACACACTGTGCTTCACTGCTTCTTCTCTGAAAGATTATATTTACATCTATATGTCTATACTTTTCTCCGCTTGATCGGACGGTCCAGAATGAAAGTTGCCTCTGATATCAGTTTCTCCAGTTTTTAGCTCTTCGGACATACAGATTCTCCCAATTCAAGCTCCGTTCTCTGCTTCTGGTAAGATTTTCTCATCCATTTCTTCTTTATTTCAAAATTCGCCTAATTTTTGTTTCTTAATTCTGCGTTTTTATATCATTTCTCTAATTTTGCAAAAATTCTGCTTGAATTATACGAATTTCCACACGATTCTCTTTGTATTTTACTTTAAAATTACGCGGATTATCATATATTTACAGAAGATTTTCCTTGTCCACCTCGATTTCTGTGACGAGTAAAGTTAAGTTTTGTCGGCTTCTATTTTTTTTTTTCCTCTTTTCAATTGTCTCAAATCTGTTTTGCTGTTCTTGATGTGATTTCTTAATTAAGATCTGAAGGTTGTTGCACTTAGATTAGCTAGATCTGACGGTCCCTATTTCAAAAGTTGTGCTTTGTGCAGTAAAATATGGAGATTAACTGTGGTTCCCTTGGTGTAACAATGGTTAAACAAAGCCTGCTAACATGCGCCGGTGGTGAAGCCGCTTTAACAGCTTTGCTAGTCTCCGCTCTGGTCAAAACTCAGCACCTGCTTCTAACCCAGGTAAAGTTCGTGAAATTAACTGAGTCGACTAGGTGATTGATTTATTCAAATTCGATTTTGTTAAAACCAAAACTTATGAACTCAGCTCACTCAACTGTAATTTAACATTTTCCGTTCAGAAAAATTAATTTTGCGAACCGATATAAGATGGTTGAAACATTACATTAGATTTGCCCCAATCTTTTGAAAATAATTCATTTCAGGCCACATAATTTTGCATTATAATATTTATGTATTGTCAGTCACTAATCTTCCAAATACGGGGAACGCATGGCCCACTTGGATCACATATCTGCGTTTCTTTCTGCTCTTCGAAAAAAAAAAGGTCATGTAAGAACTATTACATATGTATGATGATAAAATTCATTCATCGACAAGATGTATCCATATTCAGGAATACATCAAGCTATTGACAATACGACCTAAGATGAGAGGAGATCATCACGCGTGTTACCCCTGCAAGGCAATAGATGCTGAGGATGGTGATGGACATGAAGATGACGATGAAGACGAGGACAAAGATGGAGAAGGTGAGGAGGACCTATCTTGCGAAGATGGAAACCCTGACGGTAACGAGAACAATGATAAAAATGGTCCAGACCAAGAAGCAAATGATGATGAGGACGAAGATGATGATCAAGAAGAGGATGGAGATGATGACAATGAAGACGAGGATGACGATGATGGAGAAGAAGAAGAGGGTGATGATGAAGAGGAAGAAGTTGTAGAAGAGGAGGACGAGGATGAGGATGATGAAGAAACCCTCCAACCCCCAAAGAAGAGGAAGAAGTAAAAACGTGTAAAATATCCTACAGAAGTTCTCTTTTTGCTAATGCTGAGCAGCAGCTGGAGGTTTATTTTAAGATAAATGTCTTTTATGTTTCTTGCATAACTGGAGTCCTGTAGTAAGAACTCAAGTTGAGGCAATGTTGACACCATATTATCATAAGATTTCTTGGAATAACTCTGCATGCATTTGGATGTAAATAACTGGATTACCAATTCCCATAATTAATACTAAAAATTCTTCTGAGTACTTCATACTACTGGAATACTTCCGCACAAAAGGATCTCGTGCAAATATTGGTTCTTGTAAGAAATAAGAGGTAAGAAAAACATGAAATATGCCAAAGCATCAACTGGGCTAACGTCGAATAGAAATCGAGCACAAGACATAGGAAGTCAATTAACTACCCAGTGAATTCCCAAACTAGTTACAATGTAGGTTTCCAGAAGTACCTCCTACCTTTGACTCGCTCGAGCAGGATTTCAAAAATAAAATCTAACCACGTGGGTTGACAATTTAGGCACCAATATCACCTCCATATTATGTCCAATGAACCTCTCTTAAACATTGTTGATCTATATAACCCACAGATGGGTCAATTCAAAGTTTGTCACGAACTATCAAGGAAGAAAGAGAAAACACAAAAGACAAAGGAAGATGAAAACAAAAGGGAAACCAAAACCTCAGAAATTATCATTCAAGAGAATCTGCCTGAGTTTAATTTCTGATTTTAAATATCGTTTAGGAAGAATCAATAAATTCAATCATAAAAAAATGAAGCAAGAAAAGAGTCGTGATTTCTTCAAGGGAAAATTTAATGTACTCACAAAGTAATAAAAAAAAAAAGGTGGTATCGTAGCATATGCTCCAAAACTTGCATAAAGATGACAGAGAAAGGATACCAGGAACAAATCCCGGAGGAAATCTTCCTTCCATTTTCAAGATATAACTGCAAAAGGAGCCCATTTGCAAGCAAAAAGAGCTAATATTTTTAAAAATATCAACACTTTGAACCCCAAAATAGAATAGAAAATCAAAGAATAAAAATATAAAATATTGTCCTAAGAAGGAAACTTGGTAATGCTTAATTCACCAAGAAATAAATTCAAAATACAATTTTTTCCTCGGGGGAAATGTGTGGGAGAAAAATAGACTATTGTCCACTGATAATTAGTTGCACCGTAAGTTATCCTCAATTTTCACACTTTCAAGCTGCTTCTCAGAGTACTGTATGTAACTTGGCAAGGGTATACAGAGGTACTGAAATAAAAGAGATCAGAGAATAACATGTGACCAAGCTAATGCTTGAATCTTGATCAGCAAAATATTATCTAATACCCAAGAACCAAGTGTAAACAATGATCAACGTTAACTTAAATAGATCATTGACATCAAATGGTGACACCGTGAACGTAAAAGTAGATAATATAATTTTACAAAAATGACACAGGATGTGCCCCTATTTGGCCCCATTTTTTCTCAAACTCATTTTCAACCACACGTGGGACCATAGCTTTTATCAATTTTTCAACCACACATTTCATCAACTTTTTATCAAAAAATATACTAAAAAACTGATTTTTATTTAAACCAAACAGGGGCACAAGAAGTTGTAGTATACCTTTAAAGGAGTCATCCAAATTTTATGAGAAGGAACTCCATGGCAGAAAGTGGAAAAGGTGAAGCCATTCTTTAATTAAACATTGATTAGATACTCACCAGCAAACTATAAAAGGAGTTCAGCAGAAACTGAACTCAACTCATTTGACACCAAATTGGGAAAAAACAATGTCTATAAGAGAATTCCCAAGAACATGTGAAAGATACTAGAGACTGCAAGGACAGAGAAATTGCAAGGAGAGACCTCCTGATTCAGATTTATTAGGAAAAGAAAAAGAAATTACTCAAGGAGGAGGCAGAGATATATCTCAACAGTTCAAAACCACAGAATTACAGAAACAAAAGTGGGGGAAAAGATGAGGGCTTATTGAAGGCACATATTAGAATTACTCATCCACACAAATAACAAATGAACACACCACAAAAATTTCACTAAATAATAATCAATCCTAAAGAAAAAATTAAAAATAAACTGACAGTTGTAAGTATTCTGGAAAACAATAAAGACAAGACAAAAGCCTCAAGTACCAAATGCCAAAGATTACATCAAAAAAGTAACAAGGCAAATAAAATATCCACAGACCAAAAACATCATGTTTAGCTTTAATGGAAGAATATAGTAGAAAAACATCAAGAAATAAAAAAAGTACAGAAAAAAAAAAGAAACAGAAAAGGAGAACAAAACACAACATTACTGAAATATCACCAAAAAGCAAAATAAAACTTAGAAAATGAGAATCAAAAGAGACCAAGATGTTTTGAAGGGAAAAATCACTAAACCCATAAAAAGAGGTAAGAAAAGGTTTAGCAATTTAGTCTGAAATATAATCTATGAAGTTCTTCAAAGGCTAGTAAAAGGACGTAATAAAGAGGACTATGAGAAAAGTAATAAAAGATAAGAACATAAAGCTGCAATGTCGTATTCCACGACCAAGCCAACGACCCCAATCAAGCCCCTAGAAATTTTCCAAAAATATATGAACTTGTTCCTCCAGCTCAGCCACAATTCTTCTGCAGGAATGACCAATAATGTCAGGAGGCAATACAGGGGGAAAAAAAAGGCATGATGTCCACAGAAGTTATTTTATTTATTACAGGGAATCCTATAGCGCCTGGAAAAAAGAATTATGAAAAAGAAAAGCTGAGAATGAAATTACATGATAAGCTTTATACCATCTGCTAACAATTTTCCCAAATACATTTGATGTTCTCTCTTCATCATTTGATTTAATTAATTTCCTAGATCCTTCGACATGGTTTAAAACAATTTGTCCTCGATCAAACACATTATTTCCTATTCAACAAATTAAGTTTTCATTCCAAAAGGCAAAACAAAACTTTTGTGGTAGAAGGAAAACCAAGATATCCTTACTAATCACAATCTCAACTATAACTATAATTTATCTTAAACCATTGGAGTTGGTTTCCCCAAGTCCTAGTTTGCCATTTTACTTCTTTCAGGGTGTACCCGCTCTCGTGTAGAGTATCATATCTTCCATAATTACTGTATCCTAATAAATATGATCTTCTAATCCGACTAAATTTTGAACAGTCAATTGGAATCAACTCAACAATTATGGGAATTACTTCACTGAACACGCCCAATCCATCTTCAACAATTCTCTGTTAATTTTTGTTCTATACAATTTGATGCATAATTTATTATCTATGAAGACATATGTATTTTGTTTTTATGTGTAAGCATGTACCAGACAGGAATACTACATAGAACAAAGATTTGCTGAGTACAATTTTGCTGAATATTAATATTTCTTGATTGAAAGCAAATCCATGTTAACATTATCGCTTATGCTTCATCTAGCTTGTCAGTTACGTTATTTCTTCTAAGTGTAGCATGCCAACCCATCAAAAACATCAGTCTTATTAGCAATTGTTTAGTCCTAAATGGCATATATTAATGGTCTATAAGGGTTTTGTTTATGAAGACGTCTCTTCGTGTTACTTCATAATCATCTCCACTATTGTAGTAATAGGTTCACTAACATTGAGTTTCACTATCCCATCTTAACAATCTAAACTTTCATCTCAACCAGCAGCTTACATGTTAAATTTTTAAAAAGTTGGCTTCTAGAGATAAAAACACATTCTTCTGGGGTGTGTTTTCCCACATAGTAAGGTACTTAAATTAGTTAACCGTGCTTCAGAGTAAATGAAGAAAATAAATGGAAAAAGGCCAAAAAAAAATCAAAATTTCTTACATAGCATATATCTAGCACCACAATGAACACAACACCACATCAGGACAGATATAGCGTGCCTAGTCAACTTGTTATAAAATGGGAAGGACCACTCATAAAGAGAGGGGATCAGTGTAATTTTAAATTTGGGCAAACTAGCATTTTAGAGAATTATTATAAGTCATGATATCATGTATTCGTCGAAAGAATTCTGTTTTAAGTCGTTACTTTTCCTCAATTGAGGACTAACTATCCTGCATTCGCTTGTCCGTGCAGCACAGTATAATAAAAAAATGCTTGTACCTATAATGCAGTACACAAATATTTTAAATGTAGCTACACAAAAATGAGTAATGAATCATACCACAAGTTCGCGGAGTAACCACCACCACCCGTCCTCGGAGACTTAGCCAAGGACGACGGCTGCCCACCCTGCAATTTTGGGTACACGTGCTGCAACCCCATGAGCATCGCCGCACTTGATCCTCCACTACCAGCACCAGCACCACTATAAGCACCTAGACCCAGCCCCTGCAGCATTGCCCCACTTGATCCTCCACTTCCAGCACCTGCACCACTATAAGCACCCAAACCCAACCCCTGCAGCATCGCCCCACTCAACCCCCCACTACCAGCACCACTATAAGCACCTAAACCAAACCCCGGAAGGATTGCCCCACTCGACCCTCCACTGCCAGCACCAGCACCACTATAAGCACCTAAATCCAACCCCGGAAGCTGACCTCCCATCATCCCATAATATCCTCCCAACAATCCACCCAAATTTGCATTTCCAATCAACCCACCACCATACAAAGGATTAACAAATCCCGTCTGCTGCCCGGCCTGCCCCAATGATGCTAAATTATGTGCCTGGTGAGAGGCTGCTGCCGCCTGCATGAGCGGCTGCACTGGCTGCAGAGCTGTAGTTATTGATGCTGCCCCACTGCCCACCTTACTCTTCCCCTCGGTAGCCTTCTGGCAGTGCAATTTTTGCCCTTCAAATACCTTATAAGGCTCCTCTAAAACCCTTTTAGCTCCATCCAAAGTCTTATACACAAAAATTGCATAACCTTTAAATTTCCCAGTTGTAGGATCCAAACCAGTTGGCCCAGTCTCAATTTCCCCATATTTCTCAAAAAATCCCCTCAACTGCTGTGCATTTGCATTTGCCGGCACATTACTTATATAAATCTTCCTGTTCGCATAATCCGCAGAAGACGGCAGCTGGGTAACTGTTCCTGGAGCTGGAGCAGCGTTGGGACCCGCTGACGCCAGCTGGCACGATGCTGTACGATTGCCAATATTAATTTTAGGGTTTTCCAATAATTTCTTCGCAGATTGCCGGGTTTTGAAGGTGACAAAAGCATATCCCTTGCACTTTCCAGTTACTCGATCATTCACGATGTTCAAATCCTCGATTTCACCAAACGATTTCAAAAACAACTCCAGGGAATCGTGCGTAGCGTCCCAACCGAGGCCGTAGACAAATATTTTGCGATGGGAGATGTCCTTGTCGGCCGCGGCTTTTATAACGGAAAAAAGGGAGTCTTGGGATAAGCAGAGGTCGGTGACGAGGGTGATGAGTTGGTCTTTGGAGAAGGCCTCGAGGAGAGATTGGAGCTTGGTTTGCCGGTCGGAGTCGGAGTCAGAATCGGATAATTGGGTTTTGGATTTGGATTTGTTCTTGTTCTTGATTTTTTTGTCGATTTTAGGGGTGGGAGTGGGATTGGGGGATTTTTTGGGGAGCTTTCGTTTCTTCGCTCTGGTTTTCGCCATGGAGATCTTGCACTCGACACTGCACGCGCACACACACTAGACTAGGGTTTAAACGACAACAACAATAAAAGAGCATAAAGGCAAACTGTGTAGAATTTAAGTGACTTCTTAAATAAATAATTTTATCATGGGTTATTAGCACAAAACGTCCCTACACTTGAAGTTCGGTGTGCAAAACGTCCTTATGTTTCAATTCTTTACATTTTCACCTCTATTTCCACATTTCATTGTGAAAATCGTCTTTTTCATCCATTTTCTCAATAAAATGACAATTATACCCTTCTATTTAAATAAAATAAATGAAAAATAAAGAGCTTGTTTGGTATAGATTTTTGAATAGTGATATGATGAAAAATGTGTGGTTGAAAAAAAAGAATTGATTTTGAATAGTGATATGATGAAAAATGTGTGGTTGAAAAAAAAGAAAAAATTATTGATGTAATGGAAAATATTATTTTATTAAAAAATGTGTGGTTGAAAATAAGAATTAATTTATTGTAGAATTT